CATAATAGCAATTGTTTGAGGCCAGCCCAATGAACCAGATTAGTGCAGAGCCAGGAGTAACCCCCAGACAACCCCCCAACCCTCACCACTCCCCACCCAAAGTTCCTACTTTTGGAACTTGAGCTTGAAATAACACAGTGGATAGGGCACTTGCCTTGCAGTTGGCCTGGTTTGGTTCTGGCAACACAGAGGGTGGCCTGAGTTCTGCTGGGTGTGGCCCAAAAACAAAATCGGGAGAAGAAACAGGAAAAATATGCTCCCATTCTAAGTGTGTGTGTGTGTGTGTGTGTGTGTGTGAGAGAGAGAGAGAGAGAGAGAGAGAGAGAGAGAGAGAGAAGCAAGAGAGAGAAGCAAGATTTTATTGAATAAAATTTACTTTGAAGACATGAGGAGATAGAATGAAAGGAAATACTTGCTCAAGAGAGTACACAGGATTCTTCAGAGTGGAAAATGAATGTGAGAGGTGTGGGGGAGGGGAGGGGCGGAGAGGGCAGAAGAGAAACACAGAGACAGACACAGACAGATTTCTGGAAGAACATGGGCCTGAAAGAGCAAGCTCTACTCTAAATTTTAAGAAAGCTACCACCTTAGAATTTTGTTTTTGATTCTGAGCATATCAGCCTGAATTGAAGCACTAACTAGCTAATTTGAATAAGACAACTGATGGGGCTGGAGAGCTAGTAGAGTGGGCAGGGAGGTTGCAGCTGACCCAAATTCAGTCCCTGGCACCCCATAAGGTGCCCTGAGCACCTTCAGGAGTGACCTAAAAACAAAAAAGCACTGTAGCACTGTCCTCCTGTTCATTGATTTGCTCGAGCGGGCCCACTAACGTCTCCATTGTGAGACTTGTTGCTACTGTGTTTGGCATATCGAATATGTCACGGGTAGCTTGCCAGGCTTTGCCATGCAGGCGAGATACTCTCTGTAGCTTGCCAGGCTCTCCAAGAAGGGTGGAGGAATTGAACCCGGGTTGGTCAGGTCAACCACATGCAAGGCAAGCGCCCTTACCATTGTGCTATTGCTCCTCCACTCCTCTCAGAGAGCCCAGCAAGCTACCGAGAGTATCTCGCCCACATGGCAAAGCCCGGCAAGCTACCCATCGGGTATTCAATATGCCAAACACAGTAACAACAAGTCCCACAATGGAGACGTTACTGGGCCCGCTCGAGCAAATCGATGAACAACAGAGGGACAGTGTATCTCCCAAAACCAGGTGCCCCTGTGAACCCCAATCAACTAAAATAACTCAAACTCACCAATTCCAAACAAAAAAGACAATAAAAACAAAAGTTTTAATGACTAAGAAAATTCACTTAAAAAGGTAGAAAGTCTTTTTACTAGAGAAAATAAATCTAAATAAAGAACATTTAAACTTATTTTTTAAAAAAGGCAGATAACTAATGGTTTTAAATTGCTGGGTTTTATTGAGATATTGGCAAAATTTCAACATACTTCTTACCTGAATGAACAGTTTTAATAAGGTATGAAGGATCACTCATGATTACAACTAAACTCAAAAGTGAGCTGTAGAGCAGATTTGTAAATTGATCAATTTACTTGGTAAGAAATGATTCACTTCATTCACTTCACTCCATAGAGAATTCTTTGCAGAGAAATATCACGAACAGAAGGACAAAGCCTGTCTCTCATCAAAGAGCACCTGGAGTCAGAATTAACAATGATGTATTTACGGATTGATGATCTAATACATCAGAGTTTAATAAGAGAACAATTCCAGACCAACTGTGGTGTCAGTATGGAATTCCCTATCATTTTGTATTTTCTATTTAATACAACAGTCTTCAAAATAGAAGACACCATGCTGCTAGAGGAAGTAACAATTATTTTTCAATACAGTACTGTTTGGAAAGTAATAATGTTATAATACTGTGGTATCTAACTTTAAGAGAAAAAAATTTAGATATCCACAGGTCAGAACAGAAGAGTATTTGTTCTTTAACATCATACGATTTTAAAAGATGAAGGAAAAAAAATACCCACAGTTTCTTTTGCTAATTTATAATCCAAAGGAAAAAAATGTTCCAGATTATGATGTGAACAGAACTACAGTATCCCCTTTTATGGTCTGCATAGGTGAGAATGTTTTCTGAATGAACGCATTATGTTTAAACATTAAAATAATAATTATGGTCACTCTCACAAAATTTCAGCATGCCTTTGATGGCAAAGTAAGTACTTGAACCATAGCAATACTGAACTTTTTTAAGTGTCATTTTTATTTGCCCACTGGATATTGAACTTCTTACTGGCAGTGTTCCAGTGATGGAGTGTAGTTGTCATGAGAATGCACTGTTGACACTACACCACTATAAATGTGATCAGAAAAGTCACAAAAGTGTTGACATTGACACTGTGGACATTGTCCTTGGAAAAGGTGTTACTTTCAAGGAGCCTCCTCATTAAATTAAATATAACAGAAACTTTAATTTGATTAATTCCAGGACAATGGATGGCACTTCTAGGTAAAGCAAAGGTATATACATGTGTTTTCTACCACTCTCTTTCGTACAGACCCTCATGAGATTAACAGCCCTGCATTTGGTGCTGGAATGTTACTTAACCTCAGATATGCCTCCTAAAGGACAGACCCAGGAAATGAACAAAGGAAACCTTTAAAGTAGGAACTGACTCCCTTTGAAACTCACAGTGAATGTACAAAGAGTTTGTAATGTGACTTCAGTTGATGAAGTCTGTTTCCCTAATCAATACTATACTTGTTTATATTTTTACTATTTCCTATTCTAAAAAAAATCATAACTTGTTTAGCAGGCAAAAAAAAAAACCGATGCAGATTATGTGAAATTGAAGTAGGGATATTGCCACTCTAAGGACTGAGTGTAGAACTTTCACCACCACTAAATTACACAGTGAATAAAAGTACAGAACACATAATTCACAGACTATACCTCAGCATTAACAGTTTATATATTATATACTTTTGTATCTTTCTAATATTTTTACAATCACCAGATACACCATCATTAAATACAAGTTACAGAAATGTGTGGATACCATTAGTTAGAGGGGTACTTATTGCTTACTTCAGCAAGCAGCAAATAGGGCACAGGATTTAAACGGAAGGGAACTACTTTCTATCACCAGTGGCATTAAGATATAACACTGCATTTCACAAAGCACTGCTTTTTATCTAGTTTATAGAATCAAGAGCAGTATATGTCAAACCAATAACCACTAATTGAATATTATAGGATTTTAAAGGACTTACAAATGGCACCTAACTACTCTATAAATATGCATGTCTTGAACAAATGAATAGTTGCTATTTTTTACAATATTGGTTTATAACTTGACCACACTAGAACTACTTTATTTTCTAGAGGGCTACTGGTATGAGAAATGAATTTAACACTGCTTATGTATTCAGATCTACAAAATTCAGACCTTTGAAAGTTGTGGTCTCTGTTTCATTCCAATTTTAATTCCATAATAATTTTCCCCACTGTATAAACCTATCCCTTGTGCCTTCTTTCCCTTTCCATTTGTTCTATTCAGAATCATTACCAATAGACAATTATAGAAAAGTTTTAAAAATTTTAACTTAGTCAAGTGCTTTGGACTTAAAATGTTTACATTACAGTTTGCTATAATTCTGCTTTTGTTTTCTTGTTTCTTTAGATAATTTGATTTGAAACTGACACATTGTACCTGCTGGGTTGTTAACAAGACCTAGGCTTCAGAAACTGACAGATGAGAGTGAGGTCCATGTATGGTTTAAAGCATCAGGATGATGAAGAGATTCTGGTACTATAGTTGGATCCATGTTTACTCCTTTCTTTTCAACCGTGTGTCACAAGACTTAAGAAAAGAAATGACTTCAAAATCAAGAGGAAACAAATATTGAAAATCTCTACTTACATCCATATTTTAAAAAATAAAATCTATATAATAGCAATCTAACTGTTGCTAAAGTAAAGCTCTTTTTATATATTTATTTGATACAGCTGTTCTGGCACCCGAGACATGCTAGTCAGTTCTCAAAATCTAGGAACTTTTGTCCTCTGTTATGGGCCTGAGGAGCATAAAGTAATTGTATTATATAAAAATATGTGGGGGACCTTTTCAGTAAGAGTATTTAGTGCCTACTACCGGTGCGCATTACAGCAGGTAGCCTCCAGTCCATTGGCATGACTGGTCCATGGTTGATGGTAACATGTCATGTTGATTCTCAAGAGAATCTGAGGCTTCACTGAATGAATCTGATCATATGCTGTCCTAAAGATATGCTTCTAGCTTGAAACTGTAGAAATGGCAAAAACAATTTAAAAATATCAAATACAAATGCTGAAATGAAAAATGTTTTACATCTGTGGTTGCATGTAATTGCATGCAGCGGATCCCTGTGTGTTCCATAAACTGACCTCAGTCTCAGTAATCTGCATTCTCCTTTGTATATGGCCTTGCTAGGCTCACTTAAGGCAGTACTTTCAATCTCTTGCATACCAATTACTTCATTCCCTCAGGGGAAACAGTTTTTAGAGGCATTAATACTAGTATTCATTCTTCAGCACCACCTTGATGCTTTTGCTCTGTATAGATAACTTTTTTAATGGAGAAAGAGGAAATACTATTTGATATTCTTTTAAAATGGCCACTTGATTCTAGATTTGTACCTGACATCATCTCCATTAAGCCAGTTTTATTCCTGAGATGAAGGTACAGTGAAAAACACATTAGCATCATAGATTAAAACCAGTTGACAGCAATTTTCTAAAATGACAAAGAATAAAAATTCCACCAAAAGCACCATAACAGGTTTTGAAACTCTCAATAGCTGCATCCCCAGGAAATTCTTCTTTAGTTAAAAAAAAAAGTTCAGTTATGTTATTGTTATGTTAGAAGAAAATGTAATTATATACACCACCTCACTTCTCTGTGAATATGACATTCTTACTTTCTACTTACGAAAGTTTTCTACTTTCGGTATTACCAGTTAAAATCCATATGGCTTGTAGTCTTACCTACAACCCTTCCCCCAAAAAATGGTGTGGGTTAGGGATTTCCTTCTTTGAGGAGCATTCCCAACTGAAGCTAATTCTTCATTAAATTTCCTTAACATATAGGCACATCAGACCATATTTCATCTGCATTGAGCTTTCAACACTATATCCTGATTGGAAAAACTAGTAAGTTTCCACTAATGGCACTGAAAGGGTAGTGGGGTGGGGACTGTATGTGTGGACACATCACAAGGACCAGCTGTAGAATTTTGCTAGTGAAACTGCCAATACGTTTTTTTTTGTTGTTGTTGTTGAAAACACTGTTATTTTGAGATTCCTAGAGATCTATTTACATTTAAGAATTGAGCCATCCATGATTTCATAATGAAGCACATATTTCAAAAATGTCTACCTTGTTTCTACTGATAGTGATTTGTTAATTGGGGAGAGCTAGCTAGCGTCTACTTTTAAGAGAAAATACTATATTTTGTAACTCCAGGGAAAATCTGGGCAAGGAGTATCAGTCTTTCTGAACTTCCTCATGGTTTCACTATACCCTTTCCAACTATTTTGTCTCCAGGGTACAGAACTTCTTACCACCCTATTTCTCTTCCCACTTTGAGTAAGTGAGGACAGGCTGGTGCCTGTTTTATGGGAAGACTCTCGAACAGAGAGAAATGAGTAAAACTTTGTGTTAAACCTGAATCCATTTCGCCTCTTGGAATAGTGGTGGCGTAAATGAAACAATCTAGACACCCTCTTTCCCAGGAACATGAACTGTTCATTTTTCAGCTTAGAATAGACAGGAGAGAAATTCTCCATTCTGTATGTCTGCTGCCCTTTTGAGCCCACAATAAATGAAGAGGGGAATTCTCCGACACCACTCCGTTCAGGCAATGATGATTGAACTGAGTTTTCCTCCATTATTAGCTCATTAATAAGACTGGCTTTCTTTGGTGCACCAGGACCAAACATTTCAACTGGTGGCCAAATCTGGGCACTCTGAGATTTGTTTGCTTCTATCTGTGTGAGATCTAGGTAGCCCGGGTCTTCCAGCACGTTGATTTGGGACCCTGGGCTCAGGCTAGTTCTATCAGTGAATGAATCCACGCGCCCCTCATAGCCTAGATCGGCTGGGGCTGAACACTGGTGCTGAGGCCAAGGGCGTTTGCACTCTCCATGATTTTCCTTATCATCCCCACCATCTTCTTGCCCTCCTTGGAAAGAGTTCTCTGTCCAATCTGATTCCTCACTAACATTTACAGCTTTGTTCATGTCCCTCAGGAATACCACAATGACAGTGATGTTATCACTTGACCCAGCATCTCGAGCTGATGCCACTAATTTGTGGGCAACCATGCTGCTGTCTCCATTATTCTCCTTCAGGTGGTCAGATACAACTTTCACTGCCTCATCAGGGTTCACGGTGTCGTAGAAGCCGTCACAAGCCAGAATGAGGTAGTCTTCAGTTCCATCCAAAACAGTAGAGGCAGAATCTGCATCCCCACAAATATATGGCTTGTGTTCAGCATCCCCTGTGGGAATTAGAAAATAGGTCTGATTTTGATTCATTGTGCAAGGAAGTATATGGCTTGTGTCATTACTCTGATCACACTTTAGTGACTTGTGATCTGACTTTACTGGAACTAGTGTTGGAAAAAATACACTTCAATTCTGCTAATGTGATCGTGTTCTCTCCTGTATTTGTTTAAGAATTATCATTCTTGGGGGTGGAGTGATAGTACAGTGGGTAGGGCGTTTGCCTTGCATGTGGCTGACCCGGGTTCAATCCCAGGCGTCCCATATGGTCCCCCAAGCACTGCCAGGAGTAATTTCTGAGTACAGAGCCAGGAGTGACCCCCGAGCATTGCCGGGTGTGACCCAAAAAGCAAAACGTAAAAAAATAAAAGAATTGTCATTCTTTGTGATTAACTGTGGGGGTGGGGATAACAAGGAGCTGGGATTTTTTTAAAGTCTTGCTTAGACTAAATCGTGTGCCTCTCCTGCTATGATTTATGCTTAAATGAGCAAGGCAACAAATGTCAAATCTAAATTTATTGCTGTATGAGAAGAGTCAGTTCTGTGAAGAAAAAGTTTGATTTAGTAGATCTTTTTAGTTGTGATTAGGTTAAATCTGATTGAGACTGGAGAACAAGCCTGCATTGATACAAAGTTTTGGGACTGCAGATATATACAGCTGGCCAGTTGCTTGAGTTCCATCTTTGGCACCTTTATATGATGCCATCACCCAAGCATCACCAAGAGTAAGCCCTGAGCAGTTTTCGCAGTTCAAAAACCAAAAAAAAAAAAAAAAAAAAAAAAAAAAGATTACTTTTAATTAAAAAAATACCATTATATCATTGTTTAAAATGCACTTGTCTCTTACAGCAAGCTTGAGTAGCAAGAGATTCTTTTTTAAAAATCAAACTCTTCAAGCAAAGTCATCCACTCAAGCAGACATATACTAGAATGGCTATCTATATTCCTACTCGTTTTTTGTTTCATTGGTATGGGTCCCAGCAGTGCTTGGGGTCTGATCCTGGCTCCATCCTTGGGAATGGCTTCCAGAGATGTTCAGGAGACCACATGAGGCTGGGATCAAACCGAGCTTCTGCATGCAAAGCATGTATTCCAGCCTTTTGAGTTGTCCCTCCAGCCCCACTTTTCGTTTTCTAACTGCTTTAGAGTACTTCCAGATAACATCTATGTATGACAAAATTATCTACAGAAAATGCCATATTCTCTGTAGTTTTCACTGCTGCTGTTCACGCTCCACTTATGACCAATAGTGGGATCCTCCAAATACATCATGGGGCCTTTATTTTGCTTCTTTTCTTACTAGCTCATCCACTTAATGAATGACAGTTGAGCTGGTCTTTGAAGGATAACTTAGTTAACCCAAGCAGAGGAAAAGTCCTCTTTTGAAGTAAAAACATTAGCAAAATCTAACAGAAGGAACTTTTAGGAAAGAAGTATAGCAGAATGATACAGGGCATTTATTATGAAGAGAAACTGAAGAGGCCGCAGACCCATGCTGAATGAGGTTTCCATCATCCGACCCAGATAATCATCAGTGATGTGTTTTAGAACTTCCAGATTCTGAGCACAATCATTGTGTTCATTATGTTTCTCTCAAGGTATTTGGAGAAAACCAAACAATAGGTTCTCTTGGCCTCAACTAGCTCGTTTCTACAAGGACTACTCTTTTACATAAAATACAATATAGAATAATATTTCTTAGATTAAGGTATCATAATTATCTCTTAAACAACATTTTAAAAAATTTTATTTTTAAAATTAAAAACAAATTTTTAAACAATTTTAAAAAACAAAGTGCTTTTTCATTTGTAAAGCAGCATTTAGTAGCCAGGTACACCAGCATGGGAGTCAGCCTGCACTGACTCAAAACTGAGCATTTGTTATACAAGTTGTTGTCAAGTACTATCCTTTTCACTGCAAATTAATTCTTAACTAGAAGATGTAGATCAAAATATCGAAATGATCTGGCTATGTCATCACTGACAGTAGATTCTTTATTACCCAAGTAAGATTACAATATTTAATATCCTATTTAAATCTTTATATGGACCCAGAAATCTCACCCTATGGATAATTCTGTTAGAACCAATGTGAGGCCCAGGTGCAACCCTGCAGGATTGCATGAAGGAATACTGTGCACCTACCCTGATGGTTAGAAGTGGGGGTTGGGGGGGTGGTGTTTTTTTTTTTTAAATGTAGGAGTACTGCTATTTATTCAGCCACTAATTAGCTGATTGAATTGGGCATGAACTCCACCTTACTTTTTTTTTCACTTTTTATAATTTTATTTATTGAATCACCGTGACAGCAGTTAAAAAGCTTTCAGGGTTAAGTCTTAGTCATACAATGATGAAACACCCGTCCCTTCACCAGTGCACATTTTCCACCACCAAAAACCCCAGTATACCCCGATCCCTCCACCTGTGTGGCAGATGATTTCCATATTACTCTCTCTACTTTGATTACATTCAGTATTTTGACACCAGACCCACCATTATTATTTGAGATTTTACCCCAACACTCAGACCTGCTGAAAAGGCATCTGTTGACAATTTGTTTTCTATTCCTGGTTATGAATAACATATAATGTTGCGTGGCTGCTGCAGTAGTGGCCACGCAATTTTGAAATTCCGAAATTTTGACGATTAAAATCTGGAGGAATTTCTACCAAAACCTGATGGGTTCAGAGATTTGTTCCTGAGTCTCTTGGATCATGGCCGTTAAGCAGCTTGATCAGGAGCCAGAAAGGCCGTTAATGGGCAGCGACTCGGGTCTACTTGGGACAAGGAGGAAAGGGCCGGCTCCACAGGGGATGGGGGTATTGAGATGACATAACCTGGTGGTGCTCAGGGAACCCTGTGGTGCCAAGAATCAAATTTGGGGCACAGATCCAGAGCTCACACATAACTTTGCTTGAATTCCTTTGAACTATCTTCCCAGGCTTAGATTAGTTTTTAAATCATGGTAAACGTGTGATGCATGAAATCCTATCAGTAGCAGTACTGTGAACCATAGTGCAAAAAGATTTTTTTTTTTAAAAAATACCTCTCATAGAGGCAGACTGGTGGGAGGCAAATGGGGTGTGGGAGTGAAGGTGGGGATACAGGTGAAGGGATCAGTGTTGAAACATGTATTCCTAAAATCTAGTCATAAACAGCTGTAATTTCATGGTGACTAAATTTTTAAAAGATTTTAAAAGAAATTAGTCTTAGGCTAGAATGATAGTACAGTGGGCAGGACATTTGCCTTGAACATGGCTGACTCAGGTTCGATCCTGGCATCTCATATGGTTCCCCAAACTCCGCTAGGAGTGATTCCTGAGTGCAGAGCCAGGAGAACCCCTGAGCATTGCCAGGTATTACCCAAAAAGCCAAAAAAATATCAGTCTTTTTTAGACAGTAAGCAGATCATCTTCCTCCAGCATGCTTTTGATCTCAACTTCTTTAACCATGAATTTCCCAATACCCTGTTAAACTAGTGAAAACTTCCTATCATGAGGTTCCAAATCCTCCACCAATCCATTTCCTCAACTCTTCCCACCTGACTATACTATTATCATCATTATTATTTTCTGAATTCCAGCCCTAAAAATAAATGTGATCTGAGTCACTCTGTTCCCAAAAATCTTGTTTTAGTGCTTCAATTAAGAGGCTACTGCAACTGTTGGTTTGGAACAGAACATACAAAGATTTGCACAGAGAAAATGCTGCCAAAATTCTGGCTTTTCACCTGCTCTACTGTTGGATGTCAAATGCATGACATTTCGCCCCCAAACTTGGTAGGAGGGCATGATTATCCATTCCATGGTAGAAATGGCAACATCCTTTTGTCTTCATCCTCCTCTCTCCATATGCTTTTAGGAAACATCACGCCTCTGTCAATTTGGGATCATAAATCTGAAGAGCTCATGGGGAGAGAGTTGAAAAGCTTTTCATTTTGAAAGCTTTAATTTATCATTTATTGTCTAAGTAAATCTGAACTCTGCTTAGGAGTCCATTTTCTTATCCTTATTTAGCCCCCTATTTCACTTTGTGAGTTTTCCAAATCCCTCTCGTTTTCTTGTTCCTCTTCCATTTTAGCTACTGAATTCTGGCCTAATTTCCTACTTCACAAAAAAATAAATTTAAAGCCTGAATTGGGGCGAGGCAAGGCAAGCACCCTACCTGCTGTACTATCACTCTGTCCCCACTGGGTTCACCTTGTTTTTGTTTATTTTTTTTTAATCAACACTGTGATTTACCAGGTTATTCATAATGCAGTTGTTTCAGGCCTTAAATATTCCAATAGCAATCCCATGACACTGGGTTCACCTTGAAGCAAATGTCTTACCCCTGTACTATCTCTCTGGTTCCCAATTCCTCTCTTTTATGCTGCAAGTACTCATCTTTAAAAAATAAAATTAACACTTTCTCAAACCCGCTTTTTCCTCAACCTATCATACCAGTTCCATTCCCTGTCAAATTTACAGGTTCCTTATGTTATTACTCATTCTTGCTCAACTGATTGTTTTCTGATTTTTCCACTTACTAATCCAAAATAATTTCTTTCAAATGTAACCAATTATTTCCTATCCTTTGTTTTCAAAGTGCCAGGGATCAAACCCAGGGCCCTAGTAAGTGCTACTACTGAGTCACAGCTCTGCCTTCTACAGTTTTCCTTTTTGTTTTTCAGGTTTGGGGCCACCCCCATGGTTTTTTATTGTTTTGTTTTGTTTTATGCAGAATCTCACTTGACCTCTGAAGCACTTGTTCCTTTTGAGGCCTTGCTCTGGAAATCCTGTTTCTGAGTACCCTTCACACCTCTCCCTGCCTTTGCTGCCCCTCCCTCCCGCTAACTGCCTAGCTAAATTCACACTAAACTCCTGCACAATCCCGACTCAATCCCACCCTCTACCATGGATTGCAAGCGTCATTATTGTTGCTCCTATGTCATGACATGCCCTTTCAGACCAGCACCATGAGCCTGAACCGTGTGGAATCTCCGTCCTTAAACACCAGCCTCCAAGATCCAGGGTGAAAGTCAAGGCCTGTGTGGATTGGCTTCGCCTTGGACAGTCCTTATTCAAGAACATTCTTGCCCTGCTTTAGTTTCCCCTCATGATATTTTTAGAAGCAAGAAAAGGCAACTTCCTGTAGCAAAGTTTGTTCTATAACACACTTTAAAGATACCACTACTACTCTAACAAAGAGCATGATCAAGAAGAGGTCTTGGGTTGAAGTTGTCAAAAACGGCTATATTTAGGGGTCTATTTTTAAAATGAGAAGTCCCCTTTTTGGTTCTTATTCCAAAGCTGCTAATAACTCCTTCAGTCTAAGGTAAAACCACCTCAAATTTTCATGAGATATTTGCAGAAATTCTTTTTCTCAGTCTGCCGCTGACATTTGGGCCATTTCACAGCTGGCCAGCACCTTCACAAAGAGTGGGAGGAGTTACATCCATGGTAAACTGGAATGCTTTGAGATTTGAATTTTCTGGAATGTTCTGGAAATGATAATTGGAATTTAGGGAGTAGATGAGCATTCCATTTATGTATATAATTTTTACATCATACCCCTTTATTTCTTTAGAAGGCAGTGATTTAACTGCATCATATATTCATACTGCCCACAGAGACACATGGTTTCTTCTTTTCTAAACAAAAAATAAAACGAAACTATGAAGCCTAAAATTAATAATAAACCTTTGTGCCAAAGGTTTTGTGTGTGTGTGTGTGTGTGCAAAGAGTACAACAGTTCTTTGAGTTTATACCTTTACATTTTTGCCCATTTAGCTTAATTGTTCACCCAGAGAGTTTTAGATGAGGGCGCCATTAACTGCCCCTCCCCCCCCCAACTGATTTTTGTTTGCTTGTTTTTGCGCCACACCCAGTGGTGCTCAGGGGACCATATGGGATGCCAGGGACTGAATCTGGGTCATCTGTGTGCAAGGCAAGTGCCCTACCCACTGTATTTTTGCTCTGGACTCCAAAGCTTCCATTTTTAAGAAAACAAAAAGCTTGTAACATGTGTATGTGTTGGTAAAGATCCTATTTAATCACACAGAATTTAAGTGTATTGATAGGCCAGATAATCAGAATGGTGCATTATCCAATTGGTAAACAATAATAAGCACCTAGATGATATAGATGATCATTCTCTAGTTCCCACATAGCTGAGTTAATATAAAACAGTATGCTAGACTAAAAGAGGACTACTGGGAGAAATAAAAACAATTGTTTTTTCCTACCAATCGCTCTGGAGACCGACAGACTTCCATTCACTCTCCAGGCACCAAACCAGACCACACAGCCTCCAAGGGCTTCAATCCGCTGCTTTTCATCCTAGACAGCAATGCGACAGAAAGAAGCAGATCACTGGATTCAGCGTTTATTCATCTAGGCAGGCAGAGACCTCAGATCTATTACTCATCAGTTTCCCTCTATGGTTATCTTTCCTGTCAATGGTGGGCATGGGCACTTAGATGATGGCAATAGTTATAATAATTAAATGAACCTTCATTAGTTACTAGAAAACTGCTCCACTCTGGCCTGTGCCTTAAGAGAAGGAGCTTACTTACCTCTCTATCCGGTTTGTGTGGCTTCATTAGCTCAACAGCTTGGCCCTTTCTGACAAGCATAACCTGGGAATCACCCACCCAGGCCACATGGAGCATGTTGCCTCTGATAAAGGTCACCACGCCTGTGGTCCCGCATCTTAAGCTCTGAAAATGATTTCAATAAAGTGGATCAGTAAAAAGAAATTGACATCAATTTTCATTGTAAGAAATTTACAGTTTTCAAATGGTAGATTAGACCGTTAATAACTTGACTGCACAATTAACAAATTCCTATTTTTCAGTGCTCAGTGTGCATGTGTGTGTGTGTGTGTGTGTGTGCGCGCGTGCACGCGCACGCACTTGTGCTCAGGGTGTGTGTGTGCGGGGGGTGTGGGTGTGTCTACTCCTGGCTCTCCACTCAGGAATCACTCCTGGCCTTGCTCAGGGGACCACACTGGATGCCAGGGATCTAATCCAGATCAACTGCATGTGAGGCAAGCGCCTTATCCATCACCCTGGCCCTCTCAGTGCATTTTATGCACATGTATTTATGTATATATATAATCCTTAATAGCCAAGACAGGATTGACTATTCTATTTTATAAGCAATTAAGTTATAGTTAGTTAATGCAACTTAACTAGTTATAGAAGAAATCAGGTTGATCAGTATTTAAAATAAAACTGAAGATCTGGAGCTGGAAAAATAGGACAGCAGGTAAAACGGATGCTTTACATGCTGCCAGCCTGGGGTCAATCCCCAGGACCCCTTATGCCTCCCTGCCAGCTTTTGCCAGGAGTGTGATAAGTGAACACAGAGCTAGGAGTAAACCCAAGCATTGCCAGATGTGTTCAAGTTTTTCAAAAATTCCTGAAAATTTTTTTCCTTCTAGTCTAGGCTAAACCTACTATATTATTCCTTAGGGTGCTGCCTTCTGTATCCTGGTCTCTTTGTTAGTGACCTTCTACCCTATGTTCAGAGACAATCTTTATAAAATAATATAAAGCATCTGATTGCCACCTAAGAAATGGTCTCATACTCTATTAATACAGGGGCCATGACTGCATTCATGGCTGTGCAACCTCTTATATGCTACACCACTGATGTACCAAAATTTGGGGGGCATGATTTTGGATTTGGAGTGGAAACATTTGAAATATGGTGGTAGGAAGGTACAATGGTGGTGGGATTGGCCATAGCACAGAGGGTAGGTCTTGCACGAAGCCGACCCGGCTGACCCAGGTTCAATTCTTCTGCCCCTCCTGGAGAGCCCGGCAAGCTACCGAGAGTATCTCGCCCACATGGCAAAGCCTGGCAAGCTACCTGTGACATATTTGCCAAACACAGTAACAAGTGTCACAACGGAGACATTACTGGGCTTGCTAGAGCAAATTGATGAACAATGGGAGGACAGTGACAGTGAATTAATGTAAGCAACTTTGTAAAAATAATGTGAAATTTAGATTTAAAAAAAAATAGACGGGCCATAAAAACACTCTCTCAAGTGCTAAGATACATTTAAAAAAAAAAAAGCACTGCACTATAGCACTGTCCTCCTGTTGTTCATCGGTTTGCTCAAGTGGGCACCAGTCATGTCTCCATTGTGAGACTTGTTACTGTTTTTGGCATATTGAATACATCACGGGGAGTTTGCCATGCTCTGCTGTGCAGGCGGGATACTCTTGGTAGCTTGCCGGGCTCTCTGAGAAGGGCAGAGGAATCGAACCCAGGTTGGCCGCGTACAAGGCAAACACCCTACCCACTGTATTATCCTCAGACCAAAGAGAAAGTGTAACAAGTTGAGAATACCTGCATTTCATCCTTGGTAACACATGTACCCCCGAACACTAAGCTAGTAGTAGTCTCTGAGCACTGCAAAGTGTGGGGTACCTCCCCCTAAAAATGTTCTCTAGTGTTAGGGACCTTTGCTCTTGAAACATTGTAATAAGGAACCACCAAGCCTGGTATTTCACCATAATAGTTCAGGACCACTGGCACTTAAAGCTCTTGATACTACTATACTAAAATGACATTCATTTGACATGAGTCACCACCAAATGAGCATGACTTTCTGTTACTAAGGACTTGGCCTAAATTAGAACCAATGCGTCAAGGGTGTTAAAAGGCCCCTTATATCCAATCAGAAAAACAACTTCTCATTTTCCCTATATAGGGAAAGTTTGTTATAAACCCTCACCCACCAATAAAATGTCTTCCCACACAGAATGTTCAAAAACTCAGCCCCCTAGGACACATGATAAAGACACTGCAGTGCTTATGCCCCGGAGAGAACAGGAGGCAGGGCTGTTCCACAACAGGAATAGCTACTTTCTTCCCAGCAGTTAGCAACACATGGAAGCACAAGAAGGGGGAAAGGAACTGCTGAGACAAACCTAAATTATTCAGAACTATTGGCAGAAATAAAAGATACCAGGATCTTTGGCAGAGCATATAGGGTGAGCATGGTCAGGGGGAGAAAACAAACACATAATTTCGACGACATGGGAAACAGGATTTTCAAAGTCACTCTTAGTTTTATGTAGGTGACTGAAGCTCCCCTCTCAGGGGCCAGCCCTGTCTTCAGTCAGAATGGTGACGGCCCGCAGCACCAAAGACAAGATGGGCTGTGCTGGTACAGAGTCAGAAGGCCTGAGGTCAAGAATTGCATTTTGAGGAGATAGTACAGGGGTTAAGGTGTTGCTTTGCAAGGGGTTGACCCTAATTAGGTCGCTATCTCTGCATGGTTCCCTGAGCAATGCCCAGAGGTGATCCCTGAGGGCAGAGCCAGGAATAGTACTGAGTGTGGCACATGTACACGAATATGCACACACACACAACACACTAGAAAAAGGAACTGTATTTTGGTTTCCAGCCTTACATATTTATGTGGACCTTGGTGGATTCTCATTTTTTAGTTGGTTTGGTTTTGAGTCACACCTGCCAATCAGGGGTTACTCTTGGCTCAGGGGTTACTCTTGGCTCTGCACTCGGGACTTACTCCTGGCAGTGTTTAGGGGACCATATGGGGTGCTGGGGATTGAATCACACAGGTCAGCCACATGTGAGGCAAAAGTCCTACCTGCTATACTATCACTGGGGCCCCAGTAGTTTCGTATATTAATGCAAACTGAATTGGGGAGGTGCAGAATACTTGCTTAATACCACAGTTCTCATTTCTTGCTTCATTAGTTCCATGCCCCAATATTGCTAGGCACCATAATTATGAGATCAGAGAAATGGATTAAATGATTATTCTGTTGCTCCAAGTCCTTTTTTTTTTTTTTTTTTTTTTTTGCTTTTTGGGTCACACCCGGCAATGCTCAGGGGTTACTCCTGGCTCATGCACTCAGGAATTACTCCTGGCGGTGCTCAGGGGACCATATGGGATGCTGGGAATCGAACCTGGGTCTGCCATGTTGGCTGCGTGCAAGGCAAACGCCCTACCCGCTGTGCTATCGCTCCAGCCCCCTCCAAGTCCATTTTAAAGAGCTAATATAAAGGCATAGAGCTGGGTGTTTTATTTTAATTTTGTTTATTTGTTTGCTCCTGGGCCATACCTGGCTATGCTAAGGGCTTATTCCCGGTTCTGTCTTCAGGGATCACTCCTAGCAGGGCTCTGGAGACCTATGCAGTGCTTGAATTTGAACCTGGGCCAACTACATGCAAGAGCCCTACCCACCATAGATATATAAGATTATCTCTCTCCAGCCCTTAATTTGAAAACTCAAAAATTATTTGGGGGCTGGAGAGGCAGTACAGGTGTTACGGTGCTTGTCTTGCATATAACTAACCCCGACTTGATCTCTGATCCCCTAAACACTTCCAGAAGTGATCACTGAGCATAGTCAGGAGTAATCCCTGAGTACATCTGGTATGTTCCCTCCCAAAATTACTCTCTGACCATAGTTTAATCTCTGGTAATGTATAGTCCCCCAAAAACCAAGCCAGGAATAGATGCTGGGAACAGCAGGATGTTGCCCAGAAATTTCTTTAAAAAAGGAAAAGAGAAAGAGAAATTATCTTTCTTTTGCCCTCCCCTCCCGCCTTTAGAAATGAACATAGTTCTATGTAGTTAACTATTGTTAACTACATACCCACGCCACCAAATTATTCTTTAAAGACAACTTTCAAAATATTGAAATAGAGCCTCTTTCATTCATTTAGAGTAGAAACTTTAGGTCTGATTAACCTTACCAATGTTCCCAGGTTCTTTGCCACCCTAACCCTCGCAGAATCTCCTGCCCCCACTCCTGGCTGTCCTCCAGGGCCCCTTGGAGGGGGGCGGGTTGAGTTTCCCTTCCCGCCCTGAGCAGAGCCCTGGCAGCTGAAGACTCTGGAACCAGCCACAGCCATGCTTAAGACCACTCTCCACATGTTCAGACGAGCCTCACGCATGAAGGAACTGGCAGAGGAACCCTGGCATGCGGGACCCAGGGCTGAGATCTCCAAGCTCAGATCGGGACTGGGCCTCCTCCACCAGATCCCCCTTCTTCCAGTAGGTAGGCGTTACACCCACCAACTACCCCCGGCGCCATATTATCCCATCAACAGTCAAGACCCAGAGACTATAAAACCCAGCTCCCGGAAGAGAAAAGTGCAGAGTACCTGCCACTTGCCTGGCTGTCCTCACCTCTTATTATCTAGTTCTTACTCTTGGAGAACCCCACAGACTACTGAGAGTATCCTGCCCGCAAGGCAGAGTCTGGCAAACTCCCCGTGGCATATTCAGTACGCCAAAACCCAGTTAACAATGATGGGTCTCGTTCCCCTGATCCTGAAAGAGCCTCGAATGTGGCACTTTCTAAAATCTCAGGGCTAGAACGAAGGAGACGCTACTGGTGCCTGCTCGAGGAAATCGATGAACAACAGGATGACAGTGATACAGTGAACCTTACCAAAATAGGATATGGGCTCTGACTTTTCTTACTGTTTAGAGAAAAATCAGTTCAAGGATCATCTAAGGATTCACTCTCTCCAAGCAAATTTCCTCTCAAGAGAAACACAGCAAAACACTGCCAGCCCACTTAGAACCAAATGTATGCAAGTATTCCCAGCTTCTGTTTCTTTTTTAGATCATTGTTTTAATCACCATCCCAGATCTTGTCAGCCAGAGTCTGCTCAGAGCAACAGTCTTGGGGTGAACCTGATAGACATTGGTGAACAGAAAGAGAAAACTCACCCTCAATGGATTGGCTAGTTTTTTCCCCCTTTCATGAACACTGCATGAATTGTGTGTCATCCAAGGGTACGAATCTTATTCTTTTTTAAAAAAATTTTAAAGCACCGTAATTTACAAAGTTGTTCATAGTTGACTTTTAGGCATATGTTGGTCCAGCACCAATCCCACCACCAGTGTCAACTTCGCTCCACCAATGTTCCCAGGTTTCTTGCCACCTGCCCCTCCCCCCACTCCTCAACCATAGTCTGTCACCTTGACAGGCTTATTTTTAAGTTTGGTTGTTGAAGTTTAGAGGTGGCATATGACCCAGAAATTTCATGCTAATCTGTGCAGAGTTCCAATTTTCACATTAATGCTGCCAAAGCAAGCACTGGATTGGCTTTCTGAAAAGTCACTGCCTGAAGGGCTGGAGGGGATAGGACAGCAGGTAAGGAGCTTGCCTTCCAAGCAGATGAACTGAGTTGAATCCCTGGCACCATATAATGGTTCCTAAGCCCCACTGGGAGCAATTCCTAAGCACAGAACCAGGAGTGAGCCCTGAGCTAAGCCAGGTATGGCCCAGAAACAAACCAAAAACAAACAAACAGTACATTTAGGTTGAGGAGGTGGCTCAGTGAGTTGTCAGACAGGTTGCTTGTCTCTCATGTGTGATTTGGGTTTGATCCCGAATACCACAAAAAAGGGGGGTAACTTAGACCTCGGGGGTGCAGGTCTTCTCTGATTACTTCAGTGCCCTGGAGGCCCCTGAGCACTGTCAGGTGACCTAGTGGGTCCCAGTTTCCACTCTTCATTCAGGCACGCAGCCTACCTCCCTGGCGGCTTTCTGCACAAAGCGCTCGTCGGTGACGCGGAAGGCCCGGCACAGCGCCTCGGCCGGATCATGCGGGAACATTTCCTGGCGCACCAAGTTGACGTGCAGGTGAATGGATGCATAAATGGCGGCGTCCACTCCCCCATGGCCATCAAACACTGCAAAGTAAGCTTGTTCTTCCTGGTCCTGCCAATGGAAACACAGAAACCATGAAGAGGATTCAGTGTCACATGAGAAAAATACCTCAACTCTGTGCACTATGGCCTCTCCTCCCTCTTCTGACATGCATGGCGAGCTGCTAAAATACCTGCAACTCGACAGCCCCTGTGCCCACACGCCAGCACACTGGAACTCCCCAGGCACAGTTCAGCTCTGGGAAAGTTGTCCTGTACCATGGAAACCACCTACATATGTTTGCTGAAAAGCTGTTCACAAGTGTGGCGAGAGAAGAAGAGAGAGAAGGTGTGAGGCGGAATTAAGCAAAACCTGTTCAGGATTAAGGGTTCCCTCCTCAGATTGACAGTATTTTAGTTATAAAAACAGAAAAAGAACAGTAGGAAATAACTGGCCTTCCAAACACAAGACTTTATGTTACGTTAGACTGTTTCAAGTATACAATAGAGCATACACAAGCTTCTAAACTATAGCACATCCTCCTTAAATCATTCGCTGTCACACTGGATTCTCATCATAAAGTGTCTCAACCGGCTCTGCATTAGATGTCGAATTGCCCAGTGACCACTTTGCCTTGTCCCATGACACAAGATTCAGCATCTCATTTCCTTGGTTGCCTGCAGCTTGAATCCCTAGGGCAACTAACTGTCAGAGGCGTGCATGGGGTCTTGACAGCCACAAGCTACATTTAAGCCCTTAAGTCACTTGTTCTTCCCCAGATGTTCTCAGCTCTGTCTCATTCAGAGACCTGTAACTCACTGAATCCCTTGGGGTTCCTGTGCTTTCTTTAGTATTGTCAGGCGAGTCTGACTCCTTTAGGCTCCAGAGCTAGAATTTCAAGTCCAGTCACTGATTCCTAAGTAAATCAAGGAATTTATTGGTGCTCATTTTCTTGTCGATTAGGCAGGGATGAATTTTTGTCTCTGGGCATTTGACCTCAATTTGGGGGATACAGGGGATTTGTATCCAGCAGTGCTTAGGGCTCATTCCTGGCTCTGTGCTCAGGGATCACTCCTGAGAGTAATCAGTAGGCCATATGCGATGCTGGAGATCAGACCCAGGTTGGTCTGTGCAAGGCAAGCACTTTACATGCTGTATTATCTCTCAAGCCCCCAGAAAGTATTTTTAGAAAGTATAATACAGTTACAAAAGTAACAAGTATAAATGTCCATATAGTAATGACTGCATTCACTTAGTAATATATACTGCTGGGGGGAGTGGAGTCTGAACTGGAGACTGAACCCAGATCTCATACACGGCATGCATTTTACCACTGAACCACATACCCAGTCCTGAAATAAATATATGTACATGTGTATGTATGTATATATATATATATGTATGTACACACATATACACACACATATATGTGTATGTAAAATAGCCTTTTTTTATTTCTGGGCCACCCCTGCCAATGCTCAGGGGTTACTCCTGGCTTTGCACTCAGGAATTACTCCTGATGGTGCATGGGGGCCATATGGGATTCTGGGAATTGAATCTGCATCAAGGCATGCATGCAAGGCAATCTTACCTGCTGTACTTTGGCCTCTGAAATAGACATTTTAGCTAATTTAGCAATTTTACCAAAACCATCTTAAAATCCAATGGATTAGCTGATTAATCACAATTACCTAGAAAAAAAATCCTAATGTAGAATTTCTTCCTAGTATGTAGACAGAGTAGTACTACACAGAAATGATTTTTAAACAACTGTCAGATTAAAGATAAAACTGAAAATCAGCTTATCCAAGCAGTTTATAAATAAGTTAGCTGATATTCATTACAAAGAGAGAGGAGGCAAGAATCACTTTCTGGGCACATAAAAATATTCACTTTAAACAATGTGGAGATTGATAAAAAGATTCCTAAATAATAGCATCAAAAAAGACAGAAGAGAGCACACTGGATCTGTTTTTAAGAATATGGTTGAGGGAACAGAGAGGTAGTACAACTGCTAAGGTGCTTCCTTCGCAGTCCAGGTCCAATCCCTGGTACCTCATATGGTGGCCTGAGCCACTTCAGGAATGAGTACTAAGCCAGGGGTAAACCTTGAGTACAGCTTGGTATAGTCCAAAGAATCCAAACAGAAAAGTAGCCAGGCTGGAGAGACAGTACAGTGGGTAGGGCCCTTGCCTCGCATGTGGCAGACCCAGGTTTGATTCCTGGCACCACAAATGGTGTCCTGAGAACCACCTTAAGTAATCCCTGAACAAAGTCAGGAGTAAACCCTGAGCACTCCCAGCTATGGCTTCGAAACCTGAAAAAAGTGGTTGAAAGGGGCCAGGGATGTAACAAGTGATAGTGTACATGCAAGGTCCTGGGTTTGATTCACACCAAGTACTATCTGCTCAAAATAGCAACAAACAAATAACCCCCACCCTAAACAAACAAACAAAATTTGCCAAACAGGAAGCGGTAGAGGGAGTGTGGGATCAATGGTCAATCTCATACTAGTGAATGGCACTAGAACTATGGTAGGTATGGTGTGTGGTATACACACCTAACAAGTTGTGAAGCTGAATTCATGAAACTTATTTTTAAAACTACTTATTCCTAATTCTTTATGACAACAATGTGGAAAACATCTACTTCAAACAAAACAATTAAGCACTAAGGGAGGTGGGCAGTGGAAAAGAGACACGTGGATACCCTGAACCACAAAAAAACCCAACATACATTTGCTTCCTTAGGCCATTAACTCAATTTTGAGGCAAAAAGAAATGAACCACGTCAACAAACAGCATTAATTTCCTCACACCTGAGTTTAATCATAAAAACTGCTTCTCACACAACAGCCAATTTTTGAGTTGCCCATGTATGGGCCTGATAACAAGTGGAAAGAACACTGTCAGTCCTCTACCTTTGTAACGAATACACTGTTACCAATCCATCCTCACTGCTGATCAGACCTTGACAGTCAGCTAAAATTCAAATTGAGCTGCTAAATGAAGGAAATACTTCCGTTTTCTATACATTTACCACATTGTAACTTTTAAGTTATGGACTTAAAAAAAGAGGCATGTAACAGGCAAAGGGAAAAAATACTACTCCCTTCTGCATTAACCAGAAAAGAGAAGAGAAAGAGATCAAGAAAATGGTTAAAAGTTGACAAGGCTCAGATGACCCAATTTGTCCTTTGTAGAGAAGAGAAGCATGAAAATGTAATCCAGTTAACATTCCTGTCTCAAACATGAAGATTTAAAAAATAAAAATCACATGAAACTCAAAACACCCTCTCAACTCAAATGTTTTTTGGGTGTTGCGGCTGCTTCAGCAACACAGTAATATAGGAAAACTAAATAAATTATCATTTGATTACAGAGAGCGAGCTGCCTTTAAAAGACAGCTTTAGGGGCTGGAGAGAGCACAGCGGGTAGGGCGTTTGCCTTGCACGTGGCCGACCCCAGTTTGATTCTCAGCATCCAACACGGTCCCCTGAGCACCACCAGGAGTCATTCCTGAGTGTGGAGCCAGGAGTAACTCCTGTGCATTGCCGGGTGTGACGCAAAAACAAAAATAAATAAATAAATAAATAAATAAATGACAGCTTTATTAAAGCAACGCCAGGGCTGGCTTCTTTGGGTCATGTTTTTCATTTAGGTGTTTATAAAATAGTTCTGCGAGTTACACAAGAAGCTTTTTCACTTCCTACAACTGAGAGGACCTGAGTGACGGCACAGATCATAGGGACTCCATTTTCCAGTTTTGAACAATGTGACTGCACTAGCTATTCAAAACAACAAACACCAAGAGTTCCTTGTCTGTTGTTCAGTTCCAGCAAATGTGTGCCCCTCTGCCTCAGTGCCCCTCCGACCTCTCAGAGACACTATGTGAAATATACTAGAAATTTCCTTTCCAAACAGGCCCATGAAGGTGACTGTTTCGTTTCAAATTGTGTTGACGCTTTCCAAGTGCCCTTTACCTCTAGGTTGAAGAGCATGTTAAAGTCAGGAATGCAGACATGTTTGTCCTCCATTTTCCTGCGCATGTTTTTGATGGCATGGATTGATGTCTCATAATAAAGCTGGGGTCTCCTGCGGAGAGGGAAGTCTTTCACCCAGCTGCAGCAAATATCATGTAGTTTGCTGAAGACAGATCGGGCCAATTTCACTGTCTCAATCTCTGTGAAAGAAACACAGAAACCCCCAATGAAGAGCCTGGGAAAACTGCTTTTCACTTGCCTGCTTGGTAAAGACAGAAGTGGGTCACCTTAGTCAAGCTCCTCTTAATAGAAGAAATTCCTCCTTATTGAGAAATGAAACACTGCTGCTAAAGAGAGAAAATGACAAGCTATCTGAAGAAACTCATCAGACAGCAGCTGCCACTAAGATCTCCTTGCCTCGAGGAGAAAAACCTCTGGCCTGGGTTGGATCTGGTTCTATGCTGGATTTTTTTTCCAGGCTGTGAGATGCTATCTCGTTGAGGGTCCTGCTCCCCCTGGGCTGACTGCCACATTATCACCTGGAGAGAAGCCCCCAAATGCCAAAGGCACAATGAGGGCTGAAATATGGTTCAGCACAGTGGCTGAACTGATTAGAATACAAAAAACTATGAAAACATCATATATTTACAAACTACAGGAGTAAGAATTTACCTTGATTATCATTTGTCTTTGTTCTCTCTTCTGATCTCTTCCTTTACCTCCCTCTAGTTCCCTACCTTTTCTCTCCTGTAATTGATCATAATGCAGAAGCAAATGATACATTTTATTTAATATTCATATATTTTGTTGTTGCTGTTTTAGGGGGCCGTACCTGTGGTGTTCAGGACTTATTCCTGGCTCTGTGCTCAGGGATCACTCTTGGCAGGACTTGGGGGACCATATGGAGTTCTGGGAACCAAACCCACATTGGCTGCATGCAAAGTAATCACCCTATCTGCTGTACTATCTCTCTGGCCAAGTATATTTTAACTAAAGGATTTAGTCAATCATTTAGAGACTTCTGTCAGTAAGTTAATAAACACTGATTTAAAATTTTATATATCTTGAAGGAAATAAAAAACCCTTAAATTTTGTCTCTGTGTGTGACCCTGCAAAGAATAAAAGGAGAGGGGCTAGAGAGACCGCTGACCAGGCTGGACAGGCCGGTCTGGGTTCAGTCTTGAGCACCGCTACTGCATGGTTCCCCAAACTCAGCCGGGAGTAACCTTCGAGGACTGAGCAGCAGCTGCCTCCAAACACAGCCAGCTGTGACCCTCAAAACAATAAAAGAAATATAGAAGGTTGGAAAGTCATCTCAAAGGGCTGGATCTAATGCTTTGCATGTGGAAGCCCAGGTTCAATTCCTGGCACTATGTGGGACCCCCCCAAGCTCCGAACAGGAGTAATCTCCCCACAGACTGGGACATGTATAGCACAAAAACAGAAAAGGAATGCATGAAAGGATTCTTTCCTATAAAGTCTGCTACCTGGGCTGGAGCCATCATACAGACAGTAGGGTGCTTGCCTTGCAGGTAGCTGACTTGGGTTCAATCCCCAGCACCCATGTGGTCCCCTGAAGCCTGCCAGGAGTTATCCCTGAGCACAAAGCCAGGAGTAAGCCCTGAGCACCGCTGAGTGTGACCAAAAAACCAAAAAATAAACTAAGTTCTGCTACTTGACCAAACAAATGAACTAGACTTCTGAATCTGACTCATACCCCTCACAGGATGGACAGACAGTGAGTCTGTTAATTAGTGGAACTAAATGGAACGAAAGAGACTGTGTCTCACATTTGTTTATCTGCTCATTTAACTTTTTCTTCTGGAGCCACATTTGGCAGTACTCAGAGACTACGACTGGGTCTGTGCTCGTGTTAATTCCCAGTGGTGCTCAGGGGACCATGAAGTATCAGGGATCAAACCCTGGATTCCTGTATGCAAGTGTTCAGCCTCTTGAGTGTTTTCTCTGGCCCTTCGCATTATTTCCCCCTCTGCAAATTGTCTATTGAGATGCAATATTGAAATAACCTATGGAGGTAGCTCTCCTAAGGTCGGTATTTCAGAGGTTCCTCCTAAAAATTCTTAATTTTTTTTTTCCCTTTACTAAATCAGATAGTGTTTGTAACAGCATGAGAATGTGTGTGCCAGACTGGCAATGGCTATGCAGGCCTCCTTAATCTAGAACACAAATCCCAGTTTAGAGAGACTTTATGTTCGGGAACAGTCTGGAACTTAAGATTCCCTTTTATTTATTTTTATTCTTCTTCACCCTGTCTGCCTCTGTAGTCTGTGATTACACTTATCTATGTTCTTATTCAAAATTCCTTGAAAAAAATAATCTTTCAGTTTATTAGCCTTTCTCATGGTTTGTACTCCCCCCCACCCCCGCCTTATTAATACTAGGTTTAGATAAACCACAGTAACTCTGTTCCCTTAATGTTCCGTAACCGAAAATTAAGGGTACATCTGAAACAGGAAAATGGCACTAATACAACCTGAGAAGGTGTGCACAAGAGGGAAACTGAGGCCAGCAGAAAACCCAAGAGCTTGAGTATTCTGAGAACCTTCTGCAGCCTCCTCTCATTTTTTTTTAAAGCAGCATTTGCCAAGGCTCTTGTAGCCAGAAATTACCTATCTGTACTTTACCACCCATGTGGTCTCTGACTTGGGGTGTACTTTTAACTTTACCTAACAAAGACTTGCAAAACCATTAAGTGAATTCAGAAGAAAGTCTGAGGGAGAGTAAGGTGGGATGAAACAGACAAATAAAAAATAGTAATGATCAGGATGGTGCCTGAATTCCCATATATTGCAAACCCATGGATCATCCGTTGGTTTGAATATCACTCTCATATGACCAGTAAAGTAGCTTACTAGTTACACATAGCTATTTGCATTTAACTGAAATTAGATTTAAAATTTATCTTTTGGATCACATTAGCTCTGTTTCAGTGCTCATATGAACTACATGTGGCTAAAAGCTACCGGAGTGGTTAATGCAGGGAGAGAAAATATTAAACTGACTAGTGGAAGTGGCATCAACTTTGAGAATAAACCTCTAGACTGTTCCACTGTCCCTCTGTCAGTTGTTCCTGCCCTTCTGTTCCTACCACACTTTGTCATCTATTAATGCAGTACTCCACACTCTGTCGTAATAACTTTTCTTTATGGAGGGTCACACCTGGCAGTGATCCAGGGTGGCTCATCAAATCTGGGAAACCCTCGTGTCGGACACAGGACCCAGCATCCCACATGCTTCTGCAGCCCACAGAGCTCTGAGACCTAACATAGCTCTATCCCTGGGCCCTCAATGGATACTGTATATGGTTCGCTGCTATATTCTATGTCTCTAGAATATTACACAAAGAGAACAAACTATCTGGATGCGAGGTGTTTCTACAATCCACACTCTTCATGTCTGAGACTGCATATATTGTCTTAATTGTTTTAGCCATACTACAGTGTCTGGAAGACAGAAGGGACTTAATCAATGTTTATGAATAACTTAATATGTAAGCTATTATATAAACTAAATATCCACAAAAATATTAAAAGATTTGTAACCTCAGTTGTCTATTCTGCTTTGCTAACCTATTTCTGTAATGATGCTATAACTCTTTTCAAATGTTTATAATTTTTTAATATGTTTAAACACCAGGCAACTAGTTTTTCCACCTATTATTCATAATTCTAAAAGATAAAGGGCCAAGGATGTGGCTCACTGGAAGAGCACATGCCTAGTAAATGTGAGACCCAGGGTTCAATGCCAGTATGGAAAAATAAAAACATCAGTGGGGGGTTTGACATATTTTTGTTCCAGATGAACCTGCCCATTATACCTTGCCAAGATTGGGTGGGTGGGTGGGTGCGTAGGTGGGGGAAGGTGAGGCTCCATTGCTGTTGTCTAAGGGAAGACAATTAATTTATAGAGTAATGGGAGGAAATGACAACTAAACAAATTAACTTTTCCTATAGAATCATATCCAGGAGCAAGTCATAATTCTGCAGTAATTTAAATCCTTTATATATTGCTCAACAGAGTTTTAACATGGGTCCTTTCTTTTTCTTAATTCATTCTTATTTGGTCTTTTTTTCTATTTGAGTCAGAACTTTGTTTTAATCTGTTGTTTGCCACCTAGCAAACATCCCTTTCTACCAAAAAAAAAAACCAATTTCCTTCTCTATATTCAATCTCTGTGCATCTAGGGGTAAAACATGTGATTCGTATCTAGGCAATTAGAGAATCACATTCCTCTGGTCACAGTGATTGGTTCAGGAATTGGATAAACCGAGCTGAGCTGATTCAAGTGAATCCTGTGACTTGGGTAAGAGCAACTGAGTAAAGTTACTCTTCTTTTCCTGCTTGATTTGAACCTGGGCAGCTGAAGACCTGGTGCTCCTAGCAGTCATCTTGCCAACACATGGAGCCTGAAAACAAATCAGAATGAGAGTACAGATGAGAGATGAAGAAAAGCCAGACTCTTATGGCACATGCCAGTGTTATATGACATCATGTGATGAAGCCTTGAACACCTCATTAGTCTTACCTTGAAAAGCAGTCAATAATTCTGTTTTGCTGAAGCCACTATGAGCAGTGTTAGTGGTCACTTACAACCAGAAAATCCTGAGTGTACATACATTAACATAAATGCAATATTTTTGGTTTGAAACAAGCATTGTTCTACAGTGACCAGAGCATATCCACCCAGTTCTACTTTTCAGAGTATACTTTTAAAAGTAGGAGTGGATATTATAGGTATCAAATGCACTTTCTTTGGGAAGTGTTTTCTTTTTATCTCTGATCTTACAATCTATAATCTATAATGTATTATGCCAATAAACTTCCAAATAATTTTGTTTTCTTCCCCTGCTGTTTCCCTATCACAGGCTAAGGATATGGCAGGCCCTAAATGAAATACTCATCGAATAAATTTGATCATTATATTCAATCTACAATGATTTCATTAAAGACTTTTTTATGCTGGAGCCAGGAAATAGTACAGGGCCTGTACCTGATCCTGGTTTCATCCCCAGAATCACCTGGCCCCTCAGCACCACGAGGGCTGCCCGCTGGGCCAAGCAGCACCTCATCTTTGGGCCTTAGCACTAAACTGCCAGCCTGATTGGCTGAAAATTATCAAGAAGGGTCCCCCAGATCCCCGAACACCCCTTGGGAGTCACACAAAAAAAGATTTTTTTCACACTATTAATATTTATTTGTATGTTTACTGGTCTTAAGTATGTTTTAGTGATTATATTATGCAAGATTTCCTTCTTGTCTTTATGACTTGGTGTTTCATTTATTTGGGGGGGGAGGGCGGGCAGCTTTGTGGCCACACCTGACAGTGCCCAGGCTAACTGTTGGTTCTGTGTGGTACTCAGGGCAGTGGGCAGAGAGGGGTCATATAAATTGCTAAGGCTTGAACCCTGGTCACCCATATGCAAGGCCAACGCCCTATCCACTGTACTATCTTCCGGTCCCAACCAGAAATTTATCTTAAAAGGCACTGGAATGATCAGTTTTGGGTTGTTCACTTGTGGAATTACCTCTTTTCGTCCTTTAGAGAAGATGGTTCCTTGACAATTTTCTCAATCGCTTTCTTCTTCTCAGGTAAAGTTTGTTAATTTATATTTTTCTAGAAAATATCCAGGTTTTCAAATTCATTTACACAAAATTCTCATAATTCTCTTTATTTCCTCTACATTAGCGATAATTTTCCCTTTCTTGTTTTTAATTTTTTACATTGGAATATTTCTCTCTCTTTTTTTGGGGGGGAGGGGTTCTTGGGTCACAACCAGCGATGCTCAGGGGTTATTCCTGGCTTTGTGCTCAGGAATTACTCCTGGCGGTGCCTGGGGACCATATGGGATGCCAGGGACTGAACTCAGATTGGCCAGGCTATGTGCAAGGCAAACACCCTACCCGCTGTACTATCGCTCTGGCCTCTACATTGGAATATTTCAAATTGGTTTCAAACTGTCTAGACAGGAATTATATCTGATAAACTAATGTGTCCTAACAGATATACAAGGTCACTTAGCAAACACTATGAGAGATGATGTAAACGTCAAAGGAATTTTAAGTTAGGATTTTTTGGGGGGAGGGGAGGCACATCCAGCCATACTCTGGGCTTACTCCTATCTGCACTCAGGAATCACTCCTGGCAGTGCTTGGGGGATGCCATGGATTGAACCCAGGTTGGGTGCATGCAAGGCAAATGCCCTACCCCCTGTACTATTGCTCCAGCCCCTAGGAATGTTTTAAAAGTCTGATTTAGGAAACAATTAAGCTAACAAGCTAATACAGCATTTCCTGAAATTCCTTGTGCAGCTTTCACTTCTTTGGTAAAATAGATTAAGGACTTCTAAACGGTTTACAGTTATAATAGATCTTTCTGAACCAGCAGCAATGACATAGAAACCTACATAGGTAAACCTTGGAAAAATACAGTCACAATGACCAAGAATATCCACCAGTTGGAAAATGGGCACTGGTGGAGGGATGGGTATTTGATTATTGCATAATTGAAATCCAAGCACAAAAATTTGTAAGTCTACAACTGTACCTCATGGTGTCTCACTAACAAAAATTAAAAAAAAAAAGAATATCCACCAGAAGAAAAATCCCTTCAGGGCTGGTCACCCAAGTAGTAGAGCAGTTGTCTAGCATGTCTGAGTCCCGAGTCCCATCCCTGGCACCTCACTGCCCACCCTGTGCACCTGTGCTTCAACTGCAGCCTGCGGAGTGTGGTCCCTAAAAAAAATCAAAAGAAAAGAAAAACCCTATGTTCCAAGTTCATTGTGTTAGGGGGAGTCAGGAAATTCTTGCAAAGTCCACACTCTGGGAAACGGCTTCAATTCTGCTAGGTTAAGTAGTCTTTTGCATGGTGATGTACAGAACACTAACACAGAAATAATTGCTGCTTGGAAAGGAAAAATAAAATTGAAAAAGGATGAGAAGAAAATTGTCCTAAGGTAGCAGTCCGCCCCCTCACAGCTGTACGTGACTCATCAGTCGTTAATGTCACTGTATGAGCTGCAGCTGAGTCAGCCGCCACGCTGCCCTGGCTGCACCAGGCAAAACGTCACCACCCTCAGGCTCTCGGCCCGGGCTCTGACCCCAGGCCTCGGCACCACAGGCAAGGCCAGTGCTGTGGAGCAGGATCCAGCCAGCCGGACTCCGGGACAATTCTCTCCCTGTGAATCAATTACTCTCGCTAAAACCAAGCAGAGGAACTGCTTCCTTGCCAATTTTCTGTCAAAAAATGGCCTAGAGAAATAATGGAAAAACAAGGCTGTTTACTTCTATCTGTCTCACATTCTCTGAAACCGAGCTACTCGGATTCATTAATAGATGCTTTGCTCCTTGTGAACCAGGTCTAAAGGCAAAAAGCTTAAAATAGAACAGAATGAGATATTGAAATTCCTTCATTTTGAGAAGCAATTCCCTAACTTTTACAGAAGTCAGTATTTCTTCTTAAATGGACAAATATGTAAAGCCTGACACATGAAGAAATATGGCTTCTTTAATAGAAGTCTCACAATTTGCATAGAAATAAGAATAACCATGATCACTGCAAATACCATAAAAGGTTTTAATTATTGGCTGATACAAATTTCATAAAATTAATAAGAGAGTTTTATTACAAATGATTGATACGTTTCTGTTCGGGAGCCCACACCCAGCAGTGCTCAGGGGTGCACTGGGGGTGCTTGGGACTGTGAGATGCCAAGGCTTCAGCTCCCACTGCCTGCATGCAAAGGATGAGACAACCATAAGCCAGCTCCCCAACTTAACTGGGTTTTTAAATGAAACTAAAAAGTTTCTTCCTTTCTTTTCGGTGTCAGAGACCAAAAGCAGGGCCTCACACATGCAAGGTACACACGGTCTAGGGACGAGCCACGTTCCTGGTGCCAGGCTAAGAATTTTAAGTAGGTTTTGCTAAAATGCTCTCTCCCTTCACTCACCTTTTCTTTCCTGTCTTCTCATTTCTCACTTTCCTCTGTTTATCTAGTTCTTATTTATGCTCATGTCCTGTCAGTCTCCTACTCCGTATCCCTTTATGTTTTCTAAACTTAGATGTAGCTTTCCCTTCTTTCCTTCTATAGTTTTTTTGTTGCACTGTTTTCTTGTGATCACTACTAAATCGGCCAGTGAACAAACAGTAATTAGGTTGAGAATTATGCAGGCATTTTCTGTGGCTTCCTAGAGAAGAAAACTTTTATACTGGACAAATAACATAGACAGGTACGTACCCACTGTCCCTTCTGTGCCATCTGTTTCTTTTGAGATGTAATGTGCAGACAGATCACTCTGAAGGACTTCATCTGATGTGGCTCTAGCTAAAGCAGCAGCCAAAAAGGAAGGGCAATTACTGAAAGAGAAAAAACCAAAAGCCTATTTTCAGCAAGAATTAGGAAACATTACATTAACATTATTAACCTTGGGGCCAGAGAGACCATCCAGCGGGCAAAGTGCTTGTCTTTTGAGTGGCCGACCCAGGTTGGCCCCCTGCATCCCATGTGGTCCCCTAAAGTCCCATCAGGAATGATCCTTGAGAGCAGAGCCAGGAGTAAGCCCTGAGCACTGCTGGGTGTGGCCCCAAAACAAAAGCAAAACATTAACCTTGTCTCGAAACAAAATTGCACTTTAGATAATAAGTAGCACATTCTTTACCAAGTGAATATTATTGGCTAGTCACTCTGATAGCCACTGGGTATATCATGTGAATAAAACACTCACATGGTCCCGGACATAATCGGGACATAACTGTTAGAGAACAGTATGGATCACTGAAAACTGGGATGTTTTATGATGAGTGGTTAGGCAGAACTGGTTATTGCTATCTTGAAGGTTAAGACTCAAACTTGAGAGGAAGTAAAGAACAGACTGGGGAAGGAACCATAACATGAAATTACTTAATTAAAATTTACCGGGGCCAGAGAGTGAGTATAGTACATAAGGCATTTCCTTGCATGGGGCCAACTGGGGTTAGATCACTAGCACCCAACAGGTCCTCAGACAGGACCTTTTCCCTGATTAGAGCCATGAGTACCCCCTGAGCACTGGAAGATGTGGCCCAAATGCCCCCACTCCCCCACACAATTTTTTAAATACTTAAAATGTTTATCAGTGGGGCTGGAGCGATAGTATAGCAGGTAGAGGGTTTGACTTGCATGTAGCCGGCTCAGGTTCGACCCTCGACTTCCCATAAGGTCCCCCAAGCACCGCCAGGAGTAATTCCTGAGTGCAGAGCCAGGAGTAACCCTTAAGCATCGCTGGGTGTGACCCAAAAAAGTTTAGTAGGGTAAGTTTTATAAAGGAAACAAACAGGATAAAGTGACCAAGAATAAAAGATAGGGAGGGGTACTAATGTGGAACGATCAGGAGCGCCATTCCTTGAAAGGTGAGAAATAGTCAGTTACGTGGGAGTAAGGAAGTTGGGAGAGAATATGTCAAATGGAGAAAATATCCTATAGAAAAACCCTTTCTAAAGGCTACAGTTAAACAGGCCAGGGAATCAGTCAAGGGGATAAGCCAATGGATCTCTGAACCTTTGGGCCACAGTAGCACTGTAGCACTGTCCTCCCATTGTTCATCGATTTGCTCTAGCGGGCCCAGTAACGTGTCCATTGTGACACTTTTCATTACTGTGTTTGGCATATCGAATACATCACGGGTAGCTTGCCAGGCTTTGCTGTGCGGGTGAGATACTCTCGGTAGCTTGCCGGGCCCTCTGAGAGGAGCGGAGGAATTGAACCTGGCTTGGCTGGGCTGGTGGCTTGCAAGGCAAACGCCCTACCGCTGTGCTATCTCTCCAGCCCTTGTGCCACAGTAAGGAATTTATATTTCATTTAGAGTGTAATGGAAAGTAAGAATTATCAGCATGGTGGCCTTTTTTTTCAGTCTGGAGAAGTCTGTGTTCTCTCTTAGAGGTTTTTTTTGTTAACTCTTTCTCTCTGTCTCTCTGTCTCTCTCTGTCTCTCTCTCTCTCTCTAAATTTTCACATTTCTCTAAGCAAATTTCTTATTTCACTTTTTAAAAATGTGAACAAAGGTCCAAAGAGATAGTGCAATAGGCAAGGCATTGGTCTTGCATGCAATTAATGCAGTTAATTGTGGCTTGAATCCCCAGAATCTCCTATGCCAAAAGTAATCCCTGAACACAGAACCAGGACGTATACCAATTATTGCTGTGTATTGTGCAAAAAAAAAAAAAGAAAATATAAAAATAAAATTGTGAGCAAGAAACTAGTATAATCAGATATATTAATTAAAACATCATTTAGGAGCCAGAAAGGTAATATCCATGTGGTCCCTGAGCACTACCAGGAGTGATTCCTGAGCACAGAGCCTGGTTACCCTGAGCATGCCAGGTGTGCCTCCCACCCTCAAGACGGCAAAACAAAAATAATAAAATAATGCTTATGGAGCCAAGACTACTTGAAGGGCTGTAATGCATGCTTTGCATGTGAAAATCCTGGGTTCAATAGATCTCTAGCACCTCACAGTTCTCTGAGCACCACTGTAAGTTAACCCTGAGTACTAAAAAGGAATTAACTCATAAGCCACACTGGCTATGACCAAAAGTAAAATCAAATATTACTTTGACAAAGTAGATAGAGTGTTAATTAGAATTCATCTGCCTCACAGGCATTGGGAGGGTGGGGGGGGGGTTATTGGGGTTCTTCGTGGTGAAAAATAAGTATTGGTAAAGGGAAATGTATTTGATATTTGCATGACCGAAACTTAAACCTGAAAGCTTTGTAACTTTCCCCACAGTAATTCAATAAATAAATAAATTTTTAAAAATATTACTTTGACAGTGAAAGATATGGGCTAGTGATAGAGCAAATATGTTGCTTGTAGAGGTCCCTGGGTTTAATCCCTGGTACTTAAAACACACACACACACGCACACACACACACACACACACACACACACACACACACACACTTTATTATATCAAAAGAAATTAGGAGGAGTAAGAATGGAGGCAGGCAGACAATAAGGATATGAATTGTAATCCTGGTGATATTTTTTAAATTATATTTTTGGGGCCAGCATGTAGCATGCTTGCCTTGTGCACAGCCAACCCAGATTTAATCCCCAGCATCCCATATGGTCCCACAAGTCTGCCAGAGTGACCCCTGAGCACAGAGCTAGCAGTAAACTTTGAGCACCACCAGGTGTGGCCCAAAAACTAAAAACAGACCTCAAAAAAAAGGTATATTTTGGAGAAAGAAAATATAAAAGTTGCTGGTAACTAAATGTTGAGGTAAGAGAGAGAAAAGAATTAAGGCTGGATTGTAGTTCAAACAACTAGGTGAAAAATGGCACCCAGATGAAGAAAGGTGGAGAACAGTTTTGTGGGGAAAAAAGGGGTGAAAAAGAAAAGCTCAAGTGAACATGTCAAGCTGGGAACATCAAGTATTCTAGAGGAGGTGTTAAGTGATTAATTAGATTTTCTGGTGGAGAGGCTTGGATATGCTAGAAAATTTAGCGGTCATGGATATCCAGATGGGCATTTAAAATGACACGGAATAGATAACATGGGGAGAAAACATAAAATAATATGGAAAAGTGACTTAAAGTATTTTCCTTCTTTTTGGAATTGGAACTTTACATTTTATAATATGCTGGGTACTACTGGGGAAGGAAGTTAATTTGTCTCATTAGTCACTGAATTTTCAAATCCATACTTAACTGGGACAGGGATAGCATGCAGTGGTGGAGTGCATGCCCTATATGTAGCAGGCCCTGAGTTGACCCAGCACTGCAAAAAGGGTGGGGTGAGGGGGGTATGGAAAACAGAAAAAGGAAGAAAGGTAGGTAGGGAGGGAGGGAGGGAGGTAAGTTGTATTCAAAATGCAAATCAGAAGCACCATGAGCTATCACCACACTCCTGGGAAAGTGTTCTATATAAGAGACTGGAAACGAGAGTTGGCAAGAGAGTGGAGAAAAAGGTACAGTGGTGATGGGAATGCAAATTGATAGTCTCTATGGAAAACAAGAGGAAAATTCCGTACAAAACTAAAACTGAAAAGTCCATATGATCCAGCAATACTCCTTTGGATAAAAAGGGCATTTATCCAAAGGATATTAAAACACTAAGTCAAAAGTATATCTGCATCTCTCTATTCATTGCAGCATTATTTACAGTAGCTAAAACACGGAATCAACCAAAGAAAAGACCCAGTGAAGGATCATTGGGTAAACAAGTTGTAATATATAATATATATATATACATATATACACACACACACATATATATACACACACATACATACACGTTCAAAGCAGACATAAAAAATAAGTCATTTTTAAAAAGATGAAATCATGCATTTCTCATCATGGGTGGTACAAGATATGACTGTACTGAGCAAAATAAGTTAGGGCACAATTTTATTATTTATTATTTATTTGGAGGGGGGACTACGCCCCAGAGTTCTCAGGAGCAATTTCTGGCCCTGTATCCAGAAGACCATATATTTGAACTCCAGCTGAACAGGGTCACAGCTGCAGCAGGCTGCATGCAAAATGAGTGCCTTACCTACTCTGACCCCAGGAAGTGGTTCTAAGTGACTTTAAGTTACCAGATTTCTTTCATATGTGGAATATAAATAATCAAAGCAGACAGATAAAAACACAGTAAAACTGACTGGCTTTGGGGAGCTGGAGGATGTTGAGCCAGGACTTATTCCTGGTTCTGTGCTCAGGAATCACTCCTGCCAGGACTCAGGGGACTAAATGGGGTACCAGAGATGGGAACCGTGTCAGCCACATATAAAGCAAATACCCTGCTTGCTGTACTATCAGTAACTCTGGCCTCTAAAAATGACTTTTAAGCTCTATGAAATAAACAGTGGTTACCTGAGGTAAAGGGGAAGGCTCTGGGGAAAGGGAGAAAAGTGGTTCATTTAGTAATCTGATGTCACTGGAGCTCTGGAGGGTGATGAGACCTATTAACTACAAAGGGTAAAACAGCACTTCCCACACTTTATAGTATTGGAATCCAATGATAAACCAATAAAATTGTGTTTAAAGGAAGAAAACAAAATTGTAGGGCCAGAGAGATAATATAGGGGTTAATGAAGGCTTTTATCTTGCATGTGGCTGATCTGGGTTCAATCCCTGACACTGCATACGGTCCCTGACACCACCAAATGTGATTCCTCAGCACCACTGTGTGTCAGTCCCACTCCTAGTCTCCCCTGCAAATCTGTACCTGAAGACTCTTTCCTCAGTACGACCTTGACCTCAGATCCAAGCCTGATGCCGTAACGGCTGAAATTCTGGGAAATGTAGAGGAGAGGGTGAGTAAGGTTTACATGGGGGAGGCTTTGAGCTGTTTGGACAGGATAGACTGGAGCAG